CTCAAACTTTTCTGCATTGCTCATTAACATTAACATCAAAAATTCTCAACTTATTAAAAATTGTATAGCCTGTCCTGTTAGGAAGTGACTGATGTTTTTTAAGAAAGGACTGGATTATGATCTCGTAGAGCCCTAGTACCATTTAAGACTTCAGTCTTATTAGTGGTACATGTAAGATTGGTTCTATATATTATAGATATTATGAATTTTTAATTCGAATATAAAAATAGTGAAATATTTGTGTGCGTGTAAATAATAAAAATTCTTAATAGTTGACGTTAATACGAAATCGTAATATGAATGAAATGGTACGTACTGAATCAGTACGTATATGTTGTACATTAATATCGATATAAGGTAGAGGGAGGTATTAAAATTTTTTTCAATTCATCAATAGTAAAAGTTTATAAAAAAAGTAATTAATTGGTTACAAATTTATTTAATATTGTATAATTTTCATTATATTTTAAATATATAATAAAAAAACACAAGTGACTTGCAGTTGTGTAACTTTTATTATTGCCAAATAATTTTAATTCTTGATGTCATTGTTACATCATTTTTTTTGCTCTTTTACTACATGTATGTTTTGATATATCGAACCTTGTCTATCCCTATTTTTTCGAATAAATTAAGATTTTTATAGCTCTTTGAATTTGTTTACATAAATTTTCTTGCTTAGTATTGGGGAGTCATTCTATAATAAAGTCATAAACTTGACCTTTTGCTTTTTTCTCACCAATCTTATTTTTAGTCATAAAATCTTTAACTAAATCTTAGAATTCTTTGGCATATAAATACCAACATAATATTTTTTTCTGGTTGGCTTTCATCGCATCGCATGCTTTTTTGATATAAGCTAATGATATTTTGTTGATCCAAAGTTGAGACACATGAATGTTTTTGCTCTGAAAACAAACATATATTTGTATGCTTTTTCTCATGAGATATTTCTTGTATTAAAGCTTCACTTTTTTCGGTTCGCGTGAATCATTAGGTGTTATATTATGAGGAATAGAGTACAAATACTGATTGTTATCAATATTAATTGTTTCTGTATTACATGATAAGTCGGAAGAAATATTATGGTCCGGGCTTGACATTCACGCAGAAATTTCTTCTCTTTGTTCCTCTGCCTCACCTCACTGTCCCTCTTTTCCTTATCTTCCAAATCCAAGAATTTATCAATTTTTATATCCTCTAACGATTTAGGCTTTGATGCATGGGTATCTTTTATTATGTAAAGTCTGAACAAGTCCAATATTGGAAGAAATATCGTTTTGCGACTGCTTGAATTTCTGTTTCAATTTCGCGACTTTAGCTCTAAGTTCAGCATTCTCAACAGCAGTATCTGTCCAATTTTTCTCTAACTCCTCGATTCTGGCTTTAAGCTTGACGTTCTCAGTTTCACGTTCGGTACTCTCTTCCATAGCATGTTTTAAAAGCTCGGTATTCTTGGCCTCAAGCTCAGCTTTCTCGACTCCAATCTCAGAAATTCGTTGTCTTAATGAATCCATCTAGGATTGCATGTTTTGGTAATAGTTTTTATATATCTGGTGCTATGTTTAAAATGGATAACCAGAGAATAGCAAAATTTCAACGACCTCAGGTCGTCAAAATCACATGACCAAAATTCCAAGAAAAAGTACTCAATCATATGCAACGCACTTTCGCAAAAAATCTTGACATTGTTATTAATCTGTAATACGAGTCGAAGGTTCGGGGCCTGCCCACTCGCATACATATGTTAAAAAATATCGCGTCGATTAATGGTAGTATACATCGGATTAATCTGTGCAAAGCATTAGCATTAATAATTCGGGATCGAATGGAAAAAAAAGTTTCGCGCTAACACTAATTTGTCCGTTACAAAATCGTGACGACCGACAAAAAATAACTCGAAATGTGGCAGAGGAACTTCGTGAAAAGCTCTCCGAGTATATTGGATTTAAGCCCGAACAAGTTCGAATGCCGATTACTGCTGAAGACCAAGATCTTCAATTTAACCTTTTCGCATTGTGTAAACATATCGGCAAACTTGAATTTTATAAGTATAAATTTATTACTGTGTTAATAATTTAAATTTTTTTTAAATTAAAAATATATTCAATACATGTATTATGTGTTACATTATATTTGTTCTTTTTAAACACAATAAAAATTACTCATATACATCAATAAAAAAAAATTGTTTTTTTTTACATTTTTTTTTAAAAACTAACCAACCTAGTTTAGCTTTACCATCTCGTATACCCACCGCGAGCCTTTATTACGTCCGATATTCTTTTTGGCATTGACTCGATGAGACAAGTGCATGTCTCGACTTCAATATCGTTCCATACATCCTGGATTCGCTCCCACAGACCCTCCTTACCCGAAATCGTACCCAGAAGACGACGTAGACAGCAATCGACAATACTCCATAGGTGCTCGATCAGGTTAAGATCAGGCGATTGGGGTGGCCAATCAAGCACGTTGACTTCGTTATCGACGAACCATTTTTTCGTATTTATGGCGGTATGCTTCGGGTCGTTGTCTTGTTGGAAAACAACATCATTAAGCATATAATCGTAATATTCGATAGTATCCATAAGTTTCCCCGCAAGAATTTCTCTATATAACACGTCATCCATAATTACAAAGGTAACCGACATCACGAGCAGTGAAGCAACCCCACACCATTATCCCACCACCACCAAATTTAACCGTAGGTTTGACATGCGCGCTTTTTAATGGCTCTCCTTTCCTTTTCCAATAGTATTCACGCCCATCCGACCCGAAAATATTAAATTTTGACTCATCGGACCAGATTACGCTTGCCCACTCTTCTTCGGTCCAATTTTCGTACTTTTTTGCAAACTCTAGCCTACGTTTCTGATGTTCTTTCTTCAGCTTTTTTCGCTTTCCCCTTGATACTAACCCATTATCATTAAGTATACGGCGGATGGTTGGTGCAGAAACTTCAAGATTTTCCTTTTCATGGAAGTAATTTCGGACTTTGACGGCGGTCGAGCACCTACGGGAAATGATCATATTAATAATTTTTCGTTCTAGTTTCTCATTCACAACATTTGGACGACCAGGTCTGCCGGCATCAGAGAGAGTATGGTTTTGACGCCATCTTTGATTTATACGGGTAACGGTGGAAGCACTAATATTTCGTCTCCTTGCGATTTCTCGCGCGGAGTACCCTTTTTCAAGAGTGAGAATTATCTCTGCCCTTTCTTCTGGACTTGTACGGCGCTTTGTCTCCTTCTGTGCGCCAAGAAGCTTCAACATTAAGAGAAAAAAAAACAATCGATGATTATTGATGTGTGTTACCAAGATTGTGTAGCTTTAATTGTGTCATTTGATCTGCAAAGAAAAAGAACAAAAATAATGCAACACCAAATTTCAAATATTTTTTGAATTTAGAAAAAAAGTAAATTAATAATTCATATTGAATTTATAACATATCAATCTATAGCATTGTGTTATTTAATCATATCAATCATGATTTGATATTTTTAAATTTGAAAGAGATATAATGATTTAAAAATTATGATTTGAATGTTGCATTATTTTTGATTGCCACTGTAGAAGATATTCATTTGGAATGTCTACCTTATGCGCCGAGATGCACCATTTTATATTGGAAATGTCGACCACAAAGAACCCGGTTAGTTTCGTTTTTTCGGATTTCTGATGGTTCTCTTAATTCAATCGTCAACCTTTTTGGAAACTACTGAGAATGGCTATTTTTTCCCTCTTCAAATTTTATAATATATCGCTTATCGCCAAAACGTATGCACAGTGCATGTGTAGTAGTGGTTTGTCCGGTATTGCTTGAACACCCTTCGCTGTTGCGTTCGAAATGTTCCGCAAAGCAACTTAATACTTTATCATTACACTTCCATTCTATAATCTCCGCCGCGGAGGAGTTTGATTTCAGATGTGGTAGCCGCTCTGCACCGAAAACACTAAAAAGAGCGGTTTTTATGTTTGAGAACTGGGTACGCAGATAACCAATTTTCGTAAGTAATTTTTTGTTGTTGAAGAACTCGTCATACGCATTGCGCGTTTTTCACTTGATTTCCATTCTACGATGTGACGTGATGTGTTATTATCGCCCTTTTCCAGGCGCTCTTCCCCAAAGATAGCGAATATGGCACTTCGATTTCTTGCGGCAATGTCGTTTCGTTTACTACTGGTCTATTTTTGGTTTCCGCGATGTAGACATCACACCCATTGTCATATCGAGTGTCGGTAAATTGTGGTTCAATAGGAAGTCCCGTTTCTTGTCCGATCCCTTGGTTCGACCTTTCCTCCAGATGTCAGCAAAAGATTAAGCATTACCTTTGAATATTCCGTTTGTTGTGTAAGGGACGCACAATACGTACGTTGGTCTGCTTCTTTTTAGAATACTATCTACATGTACAGTAAGAAATACCTTACCGGCTATTTTCATTCTTATGTAGACAGTCTCGGGTAATCCTTGCTCGTAGAATCGTTCTCTCTTTTCATTATTTCCTATACTGCTTCTCCCCACTGATTTGGAGCTGAATTATCAAAAAATCTCAGTTTTCCAGGCATTTTTCCAGTAAAAATTGCCTTATTCCCTCCCCGCTGGATATATTAAATTCATCATCTGACTTAAACAACATCCCAGCCCAGTGCTTACATTAGGCAGCAAATCATTGGCTCTAGCTTGCCTAACTTTGGAAGAAAGGGCATTGTTGTCTTCATAGATCCATAGTTTATTTTTTGAAGCCTCGTTTTTTGATAGCCAGGTAGAGGGCTTAAAAGAAACACTGGTGCTTTTTCAGGCTTCTGGAATGCATTTGCAGTGAACTGAAACATTGCCGGAGCAACATTTTCAAAAAGACCGTGCATAATATCTACTGGAAAACTATCCGGTTCCAACTCTAGCAAGATACTTCGACCGTTTATATCAGTAATCATTATTGTTTGTATACAGCTGTTCCGATAGGAATTTTCGTAGAAAATAGACAAATCCCCTTCTAACCCTTCGAGCCACATTTTTGCGCGACCAGTAATTTTTGCATTATGAGAGCAATTTGTCTTCTCGTTGCAACAACATTCCATAATCCAGTATCTAATATTGGTCCAATAATATTATACACTACTAGTGTTGTAAATACATAGTCAGTTTGGGCGGTTCCTTGGTGACTTCTAAGATAAGAGGCTTCTCTCCATGTTGCGGTTATTAGTGAAATAATGCTTTTTCTCCATGCGGGGTATTTTGACTTATCCCCGTCAAATTCTTCAATATTTATTACTGCTTTTGGGTATGTGCAAAGAGCGTCTGGAACTGCCATTTTTATATCAAACTTTCGCTTGGTCGTTATTATTTTTTTTTAAATACAGACGTGATAATAATTATTTTCGGTTTCGATTTCCTACCTCGCTTTTTTTCTTTAACTCAATAGGAACATCACCACAGGCATTTCAAAATGCTTACAAAAGCTCGTAAATATTGTCATATGTCAGACCATTTATTTGTGCTTTGTTTAACACATCTATTTGAAATTTTCTAAATCTTTGAGTTATATTATTTGGTCTGGTGATTGTTTCTGTTTTTGATTGATTCTTAAAATGTTTCGTTGTGGTTTATTTGTAAGATTTTGTTAGGTGTACTTGTTCTAGTACTTCGCAGAGCAAGTATAGATGTGGTGTGAAATAAGTATTCTTTTGGATATTCAGTTCCACCCAAAGATTATCAAAAGTTTGTGTTTTTTCGTTGTACATAATAATAAAGACAATATTACAAATTTGATCTATAATAAATTCGCTCATTTGATTTCGCCCAGAGCTAAATAATCTTATTTGCATTACTAATTAGAATAGGATATGAAAAAGAAAAAGAAGCGATTTTGTCGTAAAAGCATTATTGATCAGATTAAATAATAAGTATAACACTAGCATAGCTTTGGTTGAATCAATAACAATCAAACACGTGGAAACAAATAGTGGGCTGAGTGCAATAGAAATGTCTTCGCACTCAGCCCATATTGTCAACAATACAATGCAAAATTTTTCACATCTAATTATTTACTAACTCTTTTTTCAACTACTTTACCTTTACTTTATCTTCAAAATGTCTGGCTATAATCTACCTTTCGATCTCGAATCTCTCACCCAAAGAATGATGCGAGCTGTTTCTCCATCACCACCTAAGATCCACAACAATGAGAGAACACCAGGAGAGCAAATCGTGTTACAGATGCACTGTCAAGGCTAAAAATAGATATATTGTTTTAGCAACAATTACAAAAAACAAAATTATATTACAGAATGGTTGTATACAAACAAACGTACGCGTAGACATACCTGCGGGTTACGAGAAACTCGTGGAATTTCTTGTAGTTGAAATATCAAATATAAAAGCAATGGATTCTACATTGGAAGCCAGCCAGACAATAAATGAAATCTTTCTGTATAATATATAATATATAATATATAACAAATAAACCAAAACATTGCCTCCTTCGACGTGGGTCTATGTGAAGCATATGCTGCTCTGAAACACAGACAAAACTATTTGAAATATGCCTGGACCTGTGTATGTACAAGGGAATTTGCAATGAAGGAAGTTCTTATATGGAAGGAGAGTTTATAGGGGTAAGTTTTTTTCTTTTAAAATATTGTAAAAAATAACCAAAAAATACAAATTTTGAACGCATTGTTAAACGAATACAACGTGAATGAATTCCTAACTTTCCATAAATTAAAGCCAACAAGAAAGGAAACAACGATTGTCATCAAAGCATTGGAAAAAAACGGCGAAATAATAATAGATCCATTGAAAAAACAACCGAAAAACATACCGACTCTTAACTGCTGATCGATCTCTCACTAATCTTATCAGTGTTCCAAATCTTAGCGTAAGTAGAAGAAAAAACAACGAGAAGAACAACAATTTGACAATGAGCTTGTTAACCTCTTAAATAACTTGAGTTTGGACAACGTAAAAGAAGAGGAAGCAAGATTGTGGGATTAATAGTACATTGCCTAAAAAAAACATGGAAGAGGTATTGTTTTTTTATTATGGCGGGAATTAGAGGAAGATATTTTTATCGGATTCTGTAGAATTAGTTTTCTTTTATTTCTTGTGTTTTACTGAGAAATTTTTATTCTTGGGTGTAATTTTCGCAGGAACTAGTTTTATTTCTTAAGGTATTTGGTTTAAAAAAGAAGAAATAAGGCAGCAGCAAAAGCTGCAATTGCGGGGTCAATTTTTTATTTCTTGTGGTTTTTTCATAAATGTGTTGATAATAACTTTTGATGCAAAATAAATATCACCTGGTTAAAAAAGTTTATGACAAGACTCTGTGGTGCTTACCAGAGCGAAAGAACATGGTAGTGACAATAACAGTGGAATGTTAGTCAGCTATCAGATCTCACGTGGAATATGTCTCTTAAGTAATTCGAAATTCGTATCAGTCATTTGTTATTATTAGGAAAATATCCATAATTGATCTTGACTTTTGCATCTACTTTAGAAATAGAATTGTTAAACTATGCAGTATGTTCTGATATTATTATTGTATGCGAAAATTAATTTTTTTGCTTTGTCTTTACTCGTACAACAACTATTATTTGATCTCAGCCAAAAGCAACTCATCCACATTTGCTCATTCATTCCACAATATACGATTTCTCTCGAAGACATTCCAACTTATAAAGGCTTTCTCGCTTTCTTCAAAATAGGGATAGGAATCGATTCTCAGATATATAAATCGATTTTATTATTAGAATACAATACAAAGTAAAAAAAATGAATCTAACTAAGAAAAATTTGCAAAAATTCGTGATTTCTTTTTAAATGACTATCTAAACGATTTCGTTGAGGGGTGACTAAGTTTCCCACATCAGAAAATAAACACCCAGATGCTTTGACTGGTTGAATATGTAGATATACATGTACTAGGTTGTGAAAATAATATAAAGGCAGTTGAATTATTATCATCAGATTGAGATTCTATATCTGTTTCGTTTCATGAATATCATTCAAGTTTGGATCAATATCGATATTGTTATTTTCGGAGCCAGTATTATTATTGCTGACTGACGAAATCGTTTGTTGTGCGCGAGAACGAGTTGTAACGTTTGCCATACTGTCGACGAGATTTCCAATTACGTAATTTACTAGAATCGATTCCTATCCCAAAATTCCAGTGGCGCTTATTCATGTTTGGCTACTTTTCGAGGTTCTGGCAGAATACTAATTTTATCTAAAATTGGCTGCAAAGAATTTATTTTTCGGAACAAAAGATATGTATTTACTTCACCAGCTGGTCTAGTACAATAACTTTCAATCCACTTCGACATTTTTAACTTCCAATACACCTCCGGAAACAATGCGAATTGACGGGCTGCTATCTTTAATGTCAGCAATTTCGATAATAGAGATCCGGCCCAGTCACTCGACCATTCGAGTAAAGAGGTTAACTCGGCTGATACTTTTGGCCACCCAGGTCAGTTGACCGAGTGTAACCAGTGAAACTGTTTTGTGATTGGCTAGTTTGGCAATCATTACCGTTACTTTTAATAGCAATAGAGGTTTGAAAAAAGATATTGTGAGATTTGGTTCTTCCCGGTAATTCCAAGGAAAGAAATATTAGTTTGGTTAGTTTAAACTAAAGAACAAAATGAGAAAATAAATAAATACAATTAAATATTTTTAGTTCTGTTCATATACAAATCTCGTCTTATCTATATTGGTTGCTATTTTACCATCGATTATTGTTATTGATATACCATTAAGTAATACGGAAATATTTTTAGTTTCGTTGTAATTGTTCATTCTTTTTCTATTTGAATGAAGAGGAGAATTTCGACATGGAGAGTAGATGGCAACTCATCACTTGTCGCAATGACTAGCAATGTTGTGGAGATTGAGTTGCAAAGTTCAACCAACAATAATCAACTTGAACATGCTCATGAGACAGTTCAAAATTCAGCGATCTAAAGTTACATGGTGGGAGTAGGGCTCCGATCGGTTCGTTTTTTTTTTCAGTAATTTATTGAACAGTCATCTAACTGAGAGTATCGGTAACGGTTCGGTAACTATTGGTTACCAAACTGAAACCGAACGAATTTACCGAAATTATCGATATCTTTCATGTCGCGAATATACATTTGAAAATTATTTTACTAACGTTAAATGTATAAATATTTATCATGTATACAAAAAAGTTTATTATAGGTAAAAAATTTATACAGCTTATTTTTGGATTGATCAGTTTTACTGATCGGTCAATAACGATTTTACCGAACTGGTCAGAGCCCTACTCGTGATGACTACCAAAATGGACGTCAGCAACAATGTGGTGCAGAATATTTACATGACGGAACACATTGAATATGTGATCGAATTACTCATAAAATTTATTCACACCAACCAAATAGCCAGAAATGATAAAGGGAATTATCCATCACAAGAATACAAAACAAAAAGAACTTTGTTATGCTGTTGTTGAATGACCTCTTTTTAGATGATGAACACCACAAAGAAAGGATTTCATCTAAGATGGACAGATTATTCAAAATGAAATTAGATTACGTAGCATATATGCACGCAGCTCAAATGAACTTAAAATGAGAATGCTCTACCATGTAAGACTGCTATATATAATTGCCACAGACTTGGAATCCCATATCATTGGATTACTCCAGATTGGAAACTACGAAATTTTTTCTTTGTTGTGAGCAACTTTTATCTCTATATACTATACTGGCGAACCAATTAAAAATTTCTCGGAAAAAATTGAATTGAACGAATTGTATATGCTATAACGGATAATGGAACAAACATGGTAAAGGCTATTAGATTGGGGAATAATGTAATTCATTTATCATGTTCCGCCCATACATCACAATTCTGTGTTAATCGAGGTTCGTCCTGCGACAAAGTTAAAAAATTGGTGCGATTTTTTCTTCACCAAAACAAAGCGAACAATTAGAGCAGGTTCAATTAGCTGTTAATATTCACGATAATCTATCAGATTTTGAGGTTTCTGGTAAAAATTTTAAATTTGATAAAAAATTTGAAGTGATAATGAAACTAAATATACAAATTCTGACATCTTTGAATAATCGAATCAAATCAAGCTATTTGCATGTTCTTCGTTCTACATGTATTAGAAACTGCAAGCCCAGATGGAATTCAAAATACATGTATAATAACTTACGTATTTGCAAATCTCAAACTTTATGGAGTTTGCATATACAGTACATGTATTTCGAACCGTATTCTTGAATCCGATTGACTACGTAATAACGATAACGATCATAACTACATGTATACATGTATTTGTTAATTGTCAATCAATCCTTTGATGGAAACAAAAATACATGTATATTAATATATACAAGATTTGTTAATGATAATTCATCATCCGTTAAGTACAACTGATAAAGGAAATTGGCGGAATTATGTTGAGGATAACGATAACGATCATAGTACGTAATAGTAAAGACTGACATGTATTTAGCTAAGAATGGGGATTATCGTAATACATGTACATGTATTATTTATTTTAATTAATTACATCGATATCACTATGATCTGATATAGTGCTAATGAATCTATGCCGGCTAACACAACCAATTTTTGATGCAGAGCATCAAAAATATTGTAGCAATCGACGATTTTCCTGCAACAATGGGTTGGGGGCATGAATAGACTGAGTAATATTCGTTAGTTTCTAATTCCTGTGCTGATATCATTTAGTATAACGGTCGAGATGGGTTTCAAACGAGAATTTGGATAGTTCGTGTTTTTAGGTAATGTGATTTTGGGTTCTATATGTTACGCAATGGGTTCTCTATCAATAATATCTTTAGTATTAACTTTCAATCGTTGCTTTTTCTAGCTAAAGCCTTAAACTATTCAACAACAAAGCGCTTTTCAATCAATTAATATGCTGTTTAACAATATCAATGCCTTTCCTGGATCAAAGGTCCTAACCACAACCAATTACAACAAATGTTCTTGAGAACTATATATACATCTTTTTGATTACATTGTAACGCATAATGCACACTATTATTTAAGAGAGAAAAATAGAAATTAAAATATAACACCGCATAGAGATCAGGATAGAATTTCGAAGCGAATAAAGTAGACTGACGGAATCAATCCGATAACAATTAATAAAAAATTTGAACGCGTTAATTTTTGCAAACATATTTGTTCGGTCTCGCATAGTCAAGTACTACTCAGGGTTAGCATCACTCGTTTTTTGGAATCCAAACATATTATTTTTTGTGGAGGATCATGATAAAAAACGGACAATTTCTTATAATAAAAGAGCAATATTTTGAAAATATGAATAAATGCATAAAATATATAACCTAAATCAATCTTGCAATAACGATAATGTTTATATTGCTAAATACTATAATTTTATGAGTATAATTGTTATTTATACGTAGTTTATTATAATAGATATTGCAAATTTTCACCGATGATCCCCCTCCCCCACGTTTTTGATTTAAATACGTTTTTTTTGTGTTATGAAATCTAGAAAGTAAAAAAATTGAAGGGAAAGCAAATGTTTCTTTGTATGGTGAAAAAATTAATATTTTTGACCATATATAATGGAGTTAGAAGATTGAATATTTCTTAGTTGCGAATATCTCTCGACTTAATTTTTTACCGTTATCATCTCTATTGAATTAGAATTATTATAACTTAATGTTAATGTAATTTTATGTGAAAATCCTTCGTTTACTATGTATTGTATGGCGTTAGCTATTCCACCGAAACTCACTCCTGTTTTTTCATAAAAAAGTAATGAGTAAATGAAAGTCGAGGTAGGGAATAATGGTAATCAAGCTTACTAACCTACAATCACGAGCATATATACCCAAGCTTCTTCATTACCACTTAAATGCAATGCTGTAAACACGCCAATTGGCAACTAATAATTCGGTATAATTTTGTCAATGAAAAGTTATGTAATTATTTAAACTGTTATATATTTTCGAATTACCCATTGTAACAAAAAAAGCAGGATATATCGTGCGACATTTCTTGCGATTCGATGCTCAAAGTCGCTGAATGTATGATTATCCAGTCTTTCGCGTAATTGTGAGCGATGACGTACTAACAATTTTAGAATACGGAAATATGCAAAGCTCACTGTGATTACTACCATAGTCGTAGCAATAACTCCCATTATCCCAAGTGTGCTGTCATTATTCTTCCCAGCACACCTTTTTATCAAAGCAATGAAAAAAAAACTTAATATTTTAAGGACTTTGCAAATACATGTAATGCGAGTTTTTACATACCACCATCTTTCACCCCCAAATTCTCCGTTGATAAATAATAATAACGGTAGCGCGGCTAAAACAAAAATAATAATGAAAAATTTGTAATCGCATCTGCCGTGATCGAATTGTATCCTTCGGCAGACTGAGTATAGGTGATGTAAGTATAATTTTTTTTAAACATATTTAATGCGATGCAACAAACTAACCTCGAAGATAGGTGGAAATAGTTGCTACAAGGAAAAGATATATATTTAAATTAAGAGTCCAAACTGATAATGCACCAATAATCTCACACACTGGACTGAACCATGGAACCGCATATATAGCTGCGTGACCCTTTATTGATTTTTTTTCCAAAAAAATTTATGTTATATTGCATTTCAATATTGAAATTAAATCATCAATTAACTTGGATATTTACCGTGTTAATTAGATGTGCAATTATTGTCAAGAAATCTATTCAATTGAAAAAATATAACGATGATAAGAGAAGTTAGAAATGTTTTTCATCTCATTATTGCCTAAAAACAAGACTCACCAGTTATAACACAATAAAATGGCAGTCTTAATGACATAGGAAGTGTTTCGTAATTATTACTCTTCCATTTCATGTATGTTCGATATATTACATAGCTAGAGCCAATTAAACTTGAAATAAAAAAGATATAAATGAATGTAAAGACTATATAGAAAGTGTGATCTTTTACGCCATTATATGGTCGTGTTGGAGGCCAGTTTAATGGGGCATACAAATTTGCATAGGTGGGTGTAGGTGTAGTATTAGTGGCAAAATTACCACCGTTTTGAGTGGTAAGTGTACTACTATCCATTTCCAATTTAATTATTTAACATTAGCTAGAAAAAACCAAGAATAACGATAATTAAAAGCAATCTTTTTATACTATCGCGATCGTCATGCTAAAAACGGATAATAATGTACATGAACGTATTAGATAAGTTAATGTTGACATTACGTGCCTCGCTCGGTTCACTAAATTTAAGGGAACTGCATATAAATTATGTAATACGTACATGTAATATACATGCACATGTACATGAACATGTACATGTATGTACGTAACAGGAGAAAGGAAACGTTAACGTTATTATTAATTAATTAATTTAGCATTACAAAATGGTTAAAATCATTTTCTTCTTTTAACATGACAATCAACCCATGATCCTCTCTTTTCGGCAACTTTCTTTCAACGTTGGCAATTAATACTTGTGATTTCGAATACATATCGATATGAAAAGTGATAAATCGATAGATTTATCTCAATGCCAAATTATCGTATCTTAGATTCAGTCTATTAAAAGCAAACCTTCATCTTGAACAAAACTCGTATAAATACGTGGATAAAATTCCCAAATGATTCACTGTAAGCCCATGCATTCCATTCGGAATAGTAACAACACGAGCCTGAAGAATATATTGTTGTAGACATTTGCAGAGACGATATGGTACTGTCTCGTCATCAGATCCCTAGATGTTGAGAAAACTAGTTCTCGAATTCGTACAATTAAAATTGACACATTTATTTAAATAATATCCAAACAGTTAATACTTCATCTCTCTGTTGCATTTACCTTCTTTATAGGCTTCCTCAAGCTCGAGAAGTGGAAATGTTTGACTGTTGAAATATAACTCTAAACGAATCCTGATATTTGTGCAATTGATACATTACGATGCTTTCAATCTCGTCTGCAAGTGCTGAGCCATTTGATTATTGATTTTTCAATGAGCAGCTATTTTAGTGTTGAAAAAGGAATTAATAAACATTAAATTCAAATATACCCTCGTCATCAGATGATTAATCATTTTTGAGACACCAAGAAAGTAAGAATCCTTCCAACAATAATTCGCAGGAACAACTTATTTTTTCTATGGTGCATTAAATCTAAAGTCATCAAACGTTTGTATTTTATAAAATGGATAAACTTCTCAATAAAGTAAATACAAAATTTAATCCGTGAATATGATAGAATAGGTCCTTTCTGAGCATATTCACGGATTAAATTTTGTATTTACTTCTTAGTAAAGAAGTTCATACAGTTTACAAATCCAAACGTTTGATGACTTTAGATTTTATGCACCATAGAAATTTTTGTGCAAACAAAACTGAAATGGCACCACCCTATAGCAACAATAAAAAGTTTATTACTGAAGATTTGGCCTCATTCTAGCTGGCCACAACACGAACACAGTTTACCTACCTTTAGACAGTCTAACATTCACCCATAATTATTGAAAATCCCCTTAATAATAATGTAACAATTATCCTTTATTATACATGTACGTACGTACAGTCGCCACAGAAAGGAACGCCCGATTTGGATGTGCAACATCAACATAAATTTAAATGTGGCGGTTTTCACCCTTTTTGTTACTGTTGACTGCAAATGTTTTTTTCATTTCTTTCTTTAACTTTTGAACATACACTGTGCGAAATTTGTTGGCTGTAAATATAACACACACCGCCTCCAGTTGACCGACTTTGACAAGGGTAAAATGGGTAATTTGGATTGGGGTTTTGAGTGCCGTACAAGTTGCAAGAAAAATGATATACAAGAGAAATAAGAAAAAAGAAAATTTACCAGGGTTTGGAAGGTCACAAGCTGTTGACAAGCAAGAAAAAAATGCACATTTACAAGAAGCCAAAAAAGATAACCTGAGCCATTTCGTGACATTGTCAACAAAAAATCTTTGTAAAAATTTACCCGAAGATTCTTTAAATCGTTTAAGTAACTTACTCAATAATGTACTAAATATAACTTTATGTTGAATAACTAAAAGAAAATTCAGAAGTATTATTTGGATATCCATCTCATGAAATACAAAGAATTCTACAATAAGATTGTATAACATTAGAGTTAACAGATACTGAATTAGAAGATTTTGGTAATTCAAAAAGATTAATCACTATACCAGTTCTATAATACTTAATGGAAATATGCAAAGTAAAAAGTAAATTAAAATACTATTTGTTATATTATTTATTGACCAATTCATTTTATATATTTGTAATATAGCATATTTATATGAGAACAATATTTAATTAATAATTTCAAGAACAAAATATTGATAAATTAATACTAATCAATCTAGTTTTACTTGAAAAAGATCAAGATTAAAGTCAAAATCAGAACCAAGTTAAATTAAAAAGATGGATCAGAAATATGATTGATACTTTCCACTTACAATATGAATCATTATCAAAGTTATTTTCAAAAAAGTCACGTGACTTGTCAAATTGGATTTAAAAGATTTTTTTTGATTATTGGTACTATTTTTTGTAAATATAATATTAAAAGGACTCTTTTATTTAGAAACAGCAGAACAAAAATGAATAATAATAAATTTTTTTTTGATTATTATTACTAATTATAAATATTATATTGAAAACTCTCTTTTATTAAAGAACAGGAATAAAAAAGGAACAAATAAAGGTAAATTATTATTTTTTCTTTTGATTATTGATACTATTTTGAAAATATTATATTAAAAGAGATTTTCTTTATTCAGAAATGAAAAAACAAATAAAAATGAACAAAGATAAATTTATTTCTTTTTTTGACTATTTGTATTATTCAAGAAAAATCTTTATTTAGAAATAAAAACAAACTCAAAAATGTCATTTCTAAATTCAAATAACTTGATTTGTAATTTTGTTCTATTCTTTATTTTTTTATTAAATTATTCTTTATTTTTTACTATATTATATCTGAACATTATTTATTATATTACCTATAATTTATTATATTATTTTGTTATATTATTATCTATAGTATTATTTATAATTTAATTATATAATTAAATAAATATATTTCTAAGTTTAATCATATAATTAATTATAATATTATCTATAGTTTTATCTGATAATTAACTAATATTACTTATGGTTTAATTATATATTTTAACTAAATAATATTGATAATTTAAAAGTTTTAACTATAATTTTGTTTTAAATTTACTCCAAGTATAATTTAAATTTTGTTTGATCTAAATATAAATGAAATAAGATATAAAACTATATAGTTTTTGTATTAAAATAGCTTATATTTTTGTTGTTAGATTTATCAATATGTAATCCATGATATTATCTATATTTTAAATCAATTTTGACTAAGAGAAACTCATTTTGTTTGATCAGTAATTATAATAAATAGCTCAATATTCAATAATCTAATTTTATATATTTAGTAATTAGATTTAAATAAAAATATTACCATTGATTTGTCTAGTCAAGATGAATCGAATGGCGAATTTTTATTCAAATCGAATTACTAAACATTAAATATTACATCTTAAATAGTAGATTCATTTTTTGACTTTAACAAAAATTAATCAATTAATAATAATATTTCAATCTTTAATAATCTAATTCAAATAAAAATAATACAATTCAATTTGTCTTGACTAATCAAATTAAATAATATTATTTTTATTTGAATTAGATTACTGGAGATTGAGATATTACATTCTAAATTGACTAATTCATTTTTTGACAATCAATTTCTAATGAAAAATTAATTGACAAATATGAATCTGTAATATTCAGTAATTCAATTTGAGTGAAAATACTGCAATTTTTTAATTTTCTTAGATTAGACAAATTGAATACTAGTATTTTCACTAAATGTTAAAATATTATGTTCTAAAGTAATTGATTTATTATATTTGTAACATGGAAGTTTATGAACATATAATACTGATATAGAAGCTCTATTAATCTATAAAAAGTATTAATAATCAGCATTTATAATGTTCTTTGTGCTCAAAAAATTTTGGTAAATGTATATTACACATGATCCATGGAAAATTATAGGATAAGTTAGCACTATATGTCATAAATAATAATTAAAACAAATTAGTATAATAATAAATTAACACAAATACAACAATATATAATTAGTTTAATTTCCCACAAGTTTCTTCACTGACTTGCTTATTATTTGTTCTAATCTTAAGAAATTTAAAACTATTAAGCTTATTATAATATTTAATAATTATAGAGTATATAAAAATTCTTTAAAGTGTACAATTTAGCAAGAACAGAATATACACGACTCTTATAAATTGCTTTAGAAAACTATATAATATTCATTGCATATTACATATTTCATTTTGAATACCATTATACTTGCAAATATATCCTAGAGTTGCTCTATATCAATATTACTATTTTTACTATTTCAATTATAAAGTCACGTTTCTTTAAATTGAAGTACTGATTTTTCATATAAAGTAAATTGAAATTGTTGAAATCAATTATTTTTTTAGTCCAGTAACTTTGTGGCGTGATATTTTGCGATCCAATAAGCAGATCGAAGTGATCTAACTACATATATTATTCGATTTGTCTAGTTAAGGCAAATCTAATAATAGTTGGATCACTTCGATCCGTTTCTGAATCACATTCTGAAATTACTGGACTAAAAAAATAATCGATTTTTATATCTTTTACAATACAATATTAGACTGCATCTCAAAATTTAAATTATATAAACTATTTTTGATGAACTAGCCGGATTATGCAAACAAAAAAATTTTTTTGTATGGCCTAATGCATATTTTATGAATGATTTCACTGTGTCAAACCCAACCTTCAAAAGATTGGTACAGGAGACCCTTGGAACTCTTAAAGAACTCCTTTAATTGTAAATTATTCAGTCTTCGCTCTAACACTTGTGTTAATCACTATTCTCTAATTACAATAATTAAGAGCAACCATAACAATATAATGCACATTGTTTTTCTTTTTTTTACGTACAATACAATTTTTTCGCAATTATTAAAAAGAATTTTTCCTAATTTAAGGAATTTGTAATATAAATTATTATAATTTACAGAAATCTAACGAAATGTCAAAAATAAAGAAAACGTTATAATTATCCCAAGTGGCTTAACTTAGTAGTTCTGTTTCTAAAAGATATATTCGCTGGTAGAAAAGAATAAATATTTTATGGTTTGACATTTGTGAACCGTGGCAAACTTTCACTTTACTAATAGGTTACTTATAGTTCAGAGCAGTTTGATTGACCATTATAAACTATAAGTAACTTATTAGTAAAGGTCAAATTTTGCCAAGTTCACAAATGTCAAACTATTAGCATACTTATTCTTTTCTACAGCGATTTTTAGTCATATCAAATTTTCATTATTCTTGATTTCAAAGTTGATATACAGAATAAAAGAAAGCTATTATATAGAACATATCTTAACATGTAGTTGCTAGATATATAAAGCCCAAATGACCATATATAACCGAGTCCAATATCTTCTTTTTTCTCGAACTAGTATTAATTTCAATCAAGTAAAGCTGATAAAGTTGACATCGAGGAAATCAGACTTGATAGACTTTGTATATTTGCTAGGGCTTCGAAAGAACTGAGTCGAGCCAAGATTGAGATGTGCTCTAGCTTGACTCGCTTTCAGAAAACTTGGCTCGAGTCGAGCCGATTTAAGAAGAGTTGGGTCATATTCGAATTCGAACTCGTATTGAAAGCTCGAGAGTCCAAAGATATCAAATAAAAAATAAAAAGTTGTGAATTATTACTTAATTAAGATTACAATTCGTAAATT